GAACAAGACAGTGAGATAACAAACAATATAAAGGGTAAAGTGTGGATTTTGACTGCCCAGTTAGAGCTTAAAAACTATGGTAATGAAGAAGAACTGAAAGTTGCTAAGCAGGTCTACCATGGTGCTTTATCCTTGGCTGTCCATTCCAGTGAGCTGCCAGGATTTCAGGAATTTATTCAGGATAGAAACCCTTCCAATGCAAAAGAAGATTATTTCATAAGGGACTTTTGGTCTTATGGTTTTGGCTGCACCTTCCCCAACTGGATTTTGAACCATACAAACAGTGGTTTCTGCTCTGGACTAGAGAGACTGGAGAATGTTCCTGAAAAATATTTTGAAAAAACCATTACTGGACATAGCTACAGCATCTATAATGCTGTCTTTGCTGTGGCTCACGCTTTGCATGTCATGTATTCATCCCAATTCAAACACAAAAGAATGGTGGAGGAGGAGAGATGTACATTTCTGCTTGAAAAGCCATGGGAGGTAATGTAAATTTGGAAAGTCCACTACTGCTTTATTTTCAACGATGTAAGCATTAATACCATAAATATTCTTCTGTTAGTAATGTTTTAAAGAAATTCTTCAGTAGAAAGGGTTACTATGATTGCAAGAGCAGCATAGCCCAGATTATTTTACTCTCTATGTTTCCCAGTTGTTTAAAAAATAGAGAAATTTGAAAAACTGCATCCATTTTAATTTGCATTTGTACCTATAACATTGTATCTCTCCACATAAATTCCTTGAGAAAACTATGGAAGAAAAAAAAAGTGAATTCTGATATTTATTTAACTGACAATAAAATTAGTTCACTGAGGTCAACAATAGTGTTCAATAATATATTCACATCTCATTTTGTTGTTGTTAATTGCGAAGTTGTGTCCGACCCATCGCGACCCCATGGATAATGTTCCTCCAGGTCTTCCTGTCCTAACATCTTCTGGAGTCCATTTAAGTTCACACCTCCTGCTTCAGTGACTCCATCCAGCCACCTCATTCTCTGTCGTCCCCTTCTTCTATTGCCCTCAATCTTTCCCAGCATTAGGCCCTTCTTCAGTGAGTCCTTCCTTCTCATTAGGTGGCCAAAGTCTTTGAGTTTCAACTTCAGGATCTGGCCTTCTAAAGAGCAGTTAGGGTTGATCTCTTCTAAGACTGACCAGTTTGAATGCCTTGCAGTCCAAGGGACTCCATACATTGCAACTGGGAAAACCATGGCCTTCACTATA